TCAACCGTCCCCAAGTACCGCGTAAACGGATCGATCCAGGCAAAAGGAAAGCTCTGCATGGAGTTTCAAGTTTCGTAGCTATCCACCGTCCAAGAGAAGAATCGTGTCCTGCTCGGGCGAATTATTGAAGATCCAAGGACCTTTAACGATGTCGCCAGTACCCGCAATCAAGGTCCTGAAAGGCGATCCCTCGAGGACCGTGACGAGTAACGTCACGAGGGAACGATCATTGTCGTTAACTTTCAAGTAAAATAAATACAAGAGAAGAATCCGACATACCCAGGATCTCTCTACGTTAAAAATATCGAGTATCAAATATGGCAATGTAATTGGCCTCTAAACGCGAATTTGTTAATTTCCTATAAATATGTACCATATTTTTATGTTGTTTATTTAGAAATAGTAAAGACGCAGATGTTACCGAAAGCATTTGTTCTGTGACACTGAACGGCTTGCGATTGTCAATCAATCTCCGAGGATCGTAAACCCTCGGGCTGTGGAAGACGGGCTCAGTTTGTGTTTTGCTGAAGGAGGACTTAACCGCCAGCAGCTGGTTTCGCGTTTTGAATGAAATTATTCCGGATTTCGGCGACACATAATAGACTATATTTCTTATACGGACAATGAAGAACGCGTGATCTTATGACGATTGTCAGTTGTCTGGGCAACAGTTAATTCTTGATTCGCGTTGGCTCGGCAACTAGAATGAATTTACGTGGACTCGGTAACGTTTTTTTCGAGAGAGATCCATGTTGTCTCGACAACTATCGGTTGGAATCTGATTTTTGCAACTGTACTTAAAAAGTACCAGAGTGCATAGTTCTCCCTCCAACTCGGTGGAGGGAGGAAGTCAGACTTGAGTTGAGCATTCTCATTGGCAGGGAAAATTTTCGAAGGTTCAGGGTTTCCGCCCTCGCAGGCACTCGCGAAACGGCCGGTCACGTCAGCCGCGGATTCGCGGAAAAAACCCTTGAGCGACGTCTAGTAGCCAGAAGTGGACTTCGGAATTTTTGAAAGTCAAAAAGTGTGTTCGCCTGACGTCGTCCCGTGCCTTCGACGAAAACCCTCGAAAAGAGGCTCTTTGAGAATGCCCGTACTCAAATTTGTTGCCCCCCTTTCGTGGATTGCTCGGGCCCTTCGGTACGCGTAGGAAGGACCTCGAGTTTTCCATGGACCTTGATTTGAGCGGTTAAAAAATATTAATTTTATGCTAATGATTAACTCGTATGGGTTATCGATGCTCCTGCATTTGTAAAAATAGATTATCGAGTTCGGCTGGCACATATTGGATGCATCCTCGACATAAATTCGTAACCCCTGCTAAAGGTTTGAGCAAAAAGGATCTATCTTATTCAGGATCTCCGTAGAAATTGGACGTCTTATCGGTGAACGTTATCGACAGATTTGCGCTGTCTGATGTTATCCATTATTGTGAAATGCTATGAAGCAATTCCAATTCGCAGATCACGTCGCAATGTTTAAAACTCAGGTTCTCCAGAATGGAATTTATCTGGGACGCTAAACCCGAGGGAAGTAGAGAGCTTACAGTAACGGCAATATGTGATAAGATAAAAGTTAAGTCATTTCTGAATAACGTTATTATACCTAATGGTTTAAAATTACATGCTACATGATATGTTTGTTTTGCTCCATTTTCAGTGTCTTGTCAAAAATATTGCAGTATTTCCGCATATTATGTCATCACGCAGGCGCATTCAATGCATATCTACGCTCAATTATAGTAATCAACCATAATCATCGGTCTCATGTGTAAGAAGGTTACGAGCGTGTTATACTTCCCAGTTTTTCTCAAACTTAAGAACTTCAGGGCGTAGAAATGAATAAACTCGATGTACTGACATTTCAGTCGCACGGAAGTGATATTTTCCTTATGCAAACGAGTTTGAAAATCCTTATCGACTAATTTGTACAGGTCTCCGCCCGATTATGTAAATTGGATTAGAAAATATCGAGACGTTCACCAAGTTAAGTCGGGTCACGTAAAACGATAACAATCCTAGCCCCAACACAGCAGCGTAACATTTCACAAGTGATATAATAATTTCGCCCTTTCCAACACCGGACTTCCAATAAAATTAGGCACACGTAAGAAACTATCCATAGAACACCACGAGTTCAAAACACGATCGCGTCATTGCAATCGAAAGTCCTTCCTCTGTGGGGCCAAACTCAACTTTGCGTTAAAAAAAAGATTCTACCTAAAATGGCACAAAAATGTATTGCTCTTCAATTATTCCGGCCGTTATTCCGTCTCAGTTCTCTACGTTTTATTTATCCAAACGCATGCTCTTCCTCATAACAAAAATTACTTTTTTTCCACAAAAAGCTTCTCCTGTTATTTCCCAGTGACATTTAAGTCACCTTTTTCTCGCACAATCGATACGTAAAAAATCAGATTAACTCTAAAGAAACCCGGTTGACAATGACATTCCACTTCCCTGGATAAACAACCCAATCCGATTGTCCGCGTCCATCAAGAAAATATTTACCAAGGAAGCAAACACACCCCGTAATTCAAACGGTCCTGTAATCTTCGAACGTTCCTGTCATTTAATCAAACCGCCCCTGGCAACTATATAAAATATCCACCCAACTTTACGTTATAAAACGTTGAAAATGTTTCGACACCAGGTCACTCAATCAAGTCCAGATTCACAGTACAAATGTCAGCGCTCTAACACGTTACAATCGCATGTTTTTTCAAGGATTAAAAAACGGTAAAAACGCGTCATCAGCGAGGATTCCCAGTAATAGCAATACCAGCGGTTCTCTTGCTGCCAAGCCTGACCTTTCTCTCCTTACATCCCACACAACGTAAAGTCGCCAAGAAATAAAAAAAGAATAAAATTAAATAAAAAATAAAAGCTATATATATAGGTCGTCGAAAAGTTATTGCCATTATTTCTGTTTAAGATTTGACGCTTCGTTTTCAAATAAAGTTGTTTTTCCTTTACGTACATGCTACATACCACTTTAAAGCGCAGACTTCGCTTTACATTTTGATAATAATTGTATTTTAAATATTAACTTTTACTTTATTTAGACCATTTAACTAATGATGGAGAAAAGGCAAATTCGGGAAATTTTTCTGTACGAGTTCAAAGCGATGGTTTCAAAATTTCCACGACCTCGAAGTTCAAGACAGTTTTGGACTACCGGCAGCCCTTGACAACGACCACTCCAAGGTATTATTGTAACATGTAAAATACAATCATTGAACAAAAATAAAAAATATATACAAATATATCTACAAACGAAGAGCATACATGACACGGATACATTGAATTCTTTTGCTTTTTTTTTGTTTTTACAAGCTTACTCGAAAACAAAGCGTCAAATCTTAAGCATCAAAAACCGCAATAAATTCCGGCAGCCTGCTAATATAGAGAGCGATTTAAAAATTGTGAATCCTCGCCTCATCTGCCACGATAGTTTCCCTTATGTTCCAGATCGTTCCTCTATTTCCGGAACACCTCTGCCTTGATTTCCCTGTGTTCCCCTAAGAGTGACCCATCTCTTTCCAGGCGATCCCCTCCGCGTCGATACCGACTCGCCAGTTACGTGGTTGAACACTCGTCGAACTCGAGCGCGTCGCGAAGAGAGCGAGACGGGCCGAAGGGAGAAATGGCGACGTAACCGTATTAGGAGAAGCACGAGTTCCTCTCGGCGGGCCTCCGAGGGCCTTCCTACGGCTGCCGAATCTCATTGCTGGCGATCGCTGCGTCTGGCCTTGAACCCGTGGTGTTCTTAGGTATGACAGAGCTTACAGGTGGTACACGTAACGGCTCGTACTCGTCGGACCTTTTCTTGCGGCCCGGCCTCGGTTGCCAGCCCGGCCGCCACGCTCGCGGAATGCCCCGCGTTCTCTCGCTCTGCCTCTCTTGTCCCTCAAATATTACGCATTTTGCGAGTCCTACGCTTCGATCCTGCGCGTCCCGCGTTTCTTCCGGGCACGAGCCGACGTGTAACACGCACGTAAGCGACTCGCTAGACAGAAAAGAGCACCCGCTCGCACCGCAGAAGGGGACGGTCCACGTGCGAATCGATTCCGAAGATCGATAAAATGAATAGAAATTTCATCCCGAGAGACAACCGAGTTCTCCCTATATTTAGTACATGGTACTTATCCAGGTAATCTGGTCAACGAAGCGCGGAGAACTATTTTCTGCTCCAACGCTCCAATCCGTGTGATCGTTTCGAGGTGGACTCGGCTGTGACCATTTTATTCTTTATAATTTTGTTAATTATTTTTTTTTTTTGTAGGGAGAATATTAATGGCACGGGCGGGTGGCTCGAGTTAAGGACGTTTCGTGGACTACGGTACTCGGTTCTGGTAGGTACATGCGATTTTTTGTGACATTTCAAATCGTTCCTCCCTCAGGAGACACGATCCCAGTATGCGGGTAAAAATCGCAAGGAGGAAGGAAACGACTCATATCCCGTGCTTTCTCTTAAACCGACAGTACCGCGAGGTTGCTTGCTTTATATAACGGCACGTCGCCGTGCCACGGTCTGGAACGTCATATATCCCCCAGCTGCATACAAGATGCGCCATCATGAAGAATAACCGCAAGAAACACGTCAATTTTCCGGGATATTCCGAGATCAAGACGTTGTTTCTCGCGGCCGCCTCGACCCGGGTTCCCTCGTAATGGAGACAAATTGAAAATACGCAGCGGTTATGCGGAATATCAAGATATCGCCAAACGAGCCGATTGAACTACTTTCCTTTTTTAATCCTTCCCGATCCTCGTCAGTCTTCTTTAAATCAATTAACTGGAACGTCATTCTGCAATCTTACGACCACTTGGAAAATCTATCCGTTAAATCGAGATTTAACGGGTTCGCCCTGTCTGGAAAAATTGCATTCAAGGATTGTCCCCACCTCTTGCCACCCATTGCCAGCTTAAACGAGCCACGAGGACGCGGATCCCCTTCTGCCGCAGGACCACGAGACCACATTTCGTGTTTGTACTCACTTTGGAGTTTGTGACGTGGTCGGCCGGCACGGATTCGGGAACGGTTTGCAGGGTGCTCCGCATGCTAGCGGACATTGTAGGCCAGCCAGATTCACTGCCTCAAACCCTCCGACGTTGCGGTGATGCACCCTCTCCTTCTACACCTGAAATCACACAGGGATCTCGTTACCACACGGAATTTCCGTACACCTCTCGGGTACTCGTCGACCCAACGTCAGACTGTATTCGGATAAATTTGATCAAAATTATTAGAGCCTATAAACCCAATCCAATATTTAAGGTGACGCGAAAGTGGCATCAAAGAAGTCTCGTTTATGAACCTTCTTCGAACTGGGTGTACCGAATCGTCTCAAACTTTACAATGGGAGTACGAAGGCTACAAGGAAGGTTCCGACCCCCATGAAGTTTCAAATTTTTTTTTAATCTATTTATTGACATTTTTTAAATTCTATATAAAAAATGAAATTTCATGATTGTCGGAACTTTCCTCATGGCCTCCATATTCACGTTGCAAAGTTTTAGGCGATTCGGTACACCTCAGTTTGGAGAAGTTTCATAAACGATTAACCCCTTTCACATCCCCTTACAGTACGAAAACGAGGAACGCAATACCGAAGGTACTTGGATTCACTTTTTCCTTCCACTGAAATTACTTACAGATCATAAGCGTCTACTAATAGCAAAAAGTGAGCAAAACCTTGGGATAAGGATGTATCGATCCTTCGTTCACGGTTCGCCTAAAAGTAGGGATTTTCTATTTCAGACTTCGTTGTTGCTTTTCAGGGGGAACACCTGGGGTTTTGTGTAACCGTAAATGAGTCAACGCGATGGTTGATTCGTGCCCTGAGGATATCGCGATGGAATTATTAATTAACGGAGCCTCGTTCGTCATTCTCATGCTGACCGTATTCTAACGGGCTTTTGATTGAACCGTATCCCTCTTAGCGGTGTGTAGCGTGTGTGTGAGAGATAGTGCGCGTTCAGCGAGGCAGAGTAAAGAAACGTGTACACATTCGAGCACTCCGAAGTATTAAAAGCACGACTGTTCTTGTAAAAACGGATTGGAAAATATAACATTTCTATTAATTACGATACAACCAGGGACAATTAACGGAACGCAATTTTTCCTCGAAAACCAAGCTCGGATATTCTCCAGCGCCGTTCAATCGATGGAAGTAATATACATTAAAAAAATCTCATGTTTTGAACCTCTCCAACATAAACCATCAAATTACCATATTCGAACATCGAGTGTCGTTCGTACAAATAAATATTGACTACATTTTTAATTACCTTGCATGATCTATGTTATCTCGAATCGATTTTACTACCAATGATTCATTTTTTCCTAGCCTACGATCCTGAAAGTACTCGATCAGATTTACGATTTCGGGCAACCTTGTAATCTCGCAACGGCGGATTACCGTACTTAGGCCGACCCCAGGATCTCACGAGGCCGTAAAGATCTCCGAGAAACAAGGAAGGCGAGAGGAGTGCGAGCGGAATGTCATTAAACCCAAGAGAGAGAGGGCCAGTGGTTAATGAGTCGCAATTAGGGCGAGCGGTTGGACATTTTGCACTTTCGTGACGGTTTTCCGAGGGTCCCCGACCCGGTCACGATTCATTATTCAGGGAGGCTCAACGAGAGTGGCAAGACGCTCTCGTTGCGAGGCCCGCCTCATTAATGGTCGCGCTGTACATTAATATGCGGCGAACGCCGACCTTAGAAAGGATAAGGTCACTACGCGGCATTGACGAAGAGAAAACGCACTCTTACCATGGGTAGGTCCACCTACCCGCTCACGGTCAATCGGATGCTGCGATTCATCTACGGGGATGACACGACGACCCGAAGGGAGAGGTCATCGGGGTCCGGAAAGAGAAGAGGCGAATCGGCGGCATAGGGAACGACGGAGAAGGAACGACTTCCTTTTATCAAGGCTCGAGGCATTGGCAGGGAAAGAAATCCTTGATAAAAATATTTTATATCGCTGCCAAAGAGTCGATCAGCCAGGCGAAACGAAGAAAAGGGAGGAAAATGAGTCTCGAGAACCGCGCCGTGGAAATCTCGGCAATTCGCGGCCGGAGAAACAAGATTGGGGAAAGTTTGCGCTTCGAGCTGTATCGTCATTACCGGGAACGTTACCCGGTATCGTGCGAAAACGTTACGCTCGGCGAATCGATTTTACAGAGGAGCTATTATGCGTGGGCAGAGGGAAAGAATATAAAAGAACAGGTGCATCAAGCTAGCACGTCAATATCACAATTCATGATTCCTGAATACAGATAAATTATGTGCTAATTATGTCCTAATTTTGTGCTGGATTAATTACTTTTGTGCCCCCACCATTTTTCCGAAATTTGAAATTTCAGTGTGGCCGTGCTAGCTTGACGACAAGCCAGCACGTTCCCCTCTCAGACAATACAGAAAATTAAAAACAAGTACACCAAATTGAAGGGGAAATGATGTGCTAATTTCGATTTAAAAGTTCGATTTTCACTCTGACCGTGCTTCCTCGATGTCAAACCAGCACGTTCTCTTCGCAAACAATGCAATAAGATAAAAACAAATACATCAAATTGGTCAACGAATTATGTGCACATTGAATATCATATTTCTAAATTTAAATTTCTATCCCTTATTTCCCAAAATCCACCCTCATCCCCCCCGGTACAAGAGATAACTGCCTATCGGGAAGAGAAACTTAAAATATTTTCTGCCTCATTAATCTTAGAATTATGTACGTTCCAAATGCCATACTTTCGCATTTTATGCACCATCCCCTATGCCCCAAAATCCACCCCCAACCCCCTGGTACTAGAGATAAGTATTAGCGCTGAGAAAATCAAACCGTTTCCTGCCCAAAATATTCTTAGAATAATGTGCTTTTCAAATTCCGTACTCCCGAATTTTGTGCTTCAACCTTTGAGCCTCAAAATCTACTTGTATCCTCCAGGTATAAGAAGTAACTGCCTCAAAGTTGAAACTTTGTCCGCTTCAGTTACTAATCCAATTGTGTGCTCCACAAATTACCACAGCGTAGAATATTGTACTCCAACCCTAAGGTCCCAAAATCCATCCCATCATCAGTCTACAAGAGGTATTTATCTGATCGTGTGAAGAAAATTGAAACCTTCTATGCTTAAATTACTCCCAAAATTATGTGCTTTTCAAATACCTTAGCGTGGAATTTTATGCTCCAACAATTATTCCGAAAATCCACCCCCATCATCAATCCATGTAATGATGAAACTCTATTGCTGTCAAGAAATTTGAATGTCTTCCGATTTAAAATACTTTTAGAATTCTATCCTTTCGGAATACCATACTCAAAAATTTGGTTTCCTATGACTCACTGTCGGTTGAGCCCCATGTGCTCACTGACAGATGGGATAAAGCTGAAGCTTAAGGGATGAAGTACAAAATTTGGAGGTATGGTATTTTGAAAGCACATGATTCTAAGGGCATTCTGAGTTGGGAGAGAGTCAAATTTCTCCGCAGTGATAGACAGTTTGATCTTGTGATTAGTGCTAGGGGCGAATTTTGGGGAAAAAGGTTGCAGCAAAAAATTCGCCGATATTATATTTTAAAGCTCATAGTTGTAGGAGTTATTTAAGCGTAAAAAAGTTGAATCCTTCTCCGCCCAAATAGGCAGTTACCTGATGTATCCGACGTGGGAGAGAGGGGCGGATTTTGGGACTTAAGAGGAGAAAGCTTCCATTTATGTATATGATATTGGAAAAGCAAATAATTCGCTGATAACGCTTCACACATTTTTCGGCTGTTAAATCGTTATTTTTTTGATGGGGTTGCCAGCTTTCTGAGTCACTAGCACCCCCCACTCGCAAATATAATGTTTCAACAATCGAAAAAGGGTGAAAATTATCAGGGAATTAAGTGCTCTTCGAGTATAATATTCCTAAATTTACATCTCTATCCCTTATGCTCCAAAAGGTACAAGTCGTGTACCCTCAGATACAAGTCGTAAATGCCTGTTGGCATGGAGAAAAGTGAAACCTTTTCAGCTTGTCCTACTCCCAGAATTATACGCTTTTTGCTTACCATAGTGGCGAATGTTGTGCTCTACTCCTAAGGTCCCAAAACCTACCCCAAATAAAAAACCACAGGAGATAAGTATGCGATAGCGTGGAGAAAATAGAAACATTTTGTGCTTGAACTGCTCCCAGGATTTTGCTTTTCAGATAACGTAGCGCCGAATTTTATGCTGCAAACATTTCCCCCGAAGCCTTCCCCCATGGCAAATCCACAAGATGGTACTGTCTATAGCTGCGGAAAAATTTCAATCTCTCTCGAATTGAAACGTTTTTAGAATTATGTGCTTTCGCAATACAACACTCCCGAATTCTGTGTTCCATGTCTTACTGCCATTGTCTCACCACCCCATGTATTCACTAACGGATGGGATAAATGAATAGGGGCAAGGGATGGGGCATAAAATTCTACGTTATGGTATTCGAGAAGCACATAACTTTGAGAGCAATTTAAGCGTAAAAAGTTTCAATTTTCTCCTGGCCATCGGATAGTTACCTCTTGTAGAATGTATTAAAGGAGGTGAATTTTCAGGGTAATGGTTGCAGCACAAAATTCCACGCTGTGGTATTCGAAAAGCACATAATTTTGGGAGTAATTTAAGCATAGAAGGTTTCAAATTTCTCCACGCTATCAGATAATTACCTCTTGTACACTGGTGATGGGATGGATTTTGAGACCTTAGGGTTGGAGGATATCTACGCTGTGGTATTTTGAGGAGCACACAATTGGAGTAGTAACTTAAGCGGACAAAGTTTCAACTTTGAGGCAGTTACTTCTTATACCTGGAGGATATAGGTAGATTTTGAGGCTCAAAGGATGGAGCACAAAATTCGGGAGTACGGAATTTGAAAAGCACATTATTCTAAGAATATTTTGGGCAGGAAACGGTTTGGTTTTCTCAGCGCCAATACTTATCTCTAGTACCAGGGGGTTGGGGGTAGATTTTGGGGCATAAGGGATGAAGCATAAAATGAGGAAGTGTGGGCGTTGAAAAGTACATAATTCTAAGATTAATTAGGCAGTAAATATTTAAAGTTTCTCGTTCCGCTATCCAATTATCTTTTGTACCGGGAGGGATGAGGGCGGATT